ATAATGTCTAAATTACATATTCTGTGTATATAAGAATAAACAAATCTTTAGATTATTTGAAGATTTTCTTCACAATATATTAATATTCAATCTTTCTATTACATGATTAATTAATATATAATAATACGATTAATAACATTTCATGTTGTATTTAAATCTGGAACTAACAGAATAATTTCAAGATGATTTTGTAGGTGAGATAGATTTTATTTCTTAAAAGTCATTAAACTTTTTGATTATCAGTTATTTATTATATTGTGTATTGCATATAAATATATTAATTATTATTTTTTATGTTTTTAATTAAAAAATCAAGTAAATTGTATAATGTAAATATTATAAAAATTGTATAGCGAAAACTTTTTATTTTTTAATCTTTTAAATATAATTTAGTAAATATATTTTATTAGAAAAGTAATAATTTTTTCAGAATACAATGAATTAATATAATTTTTACAGATTATATTTATATTTATATGATGAAATATACAATTATTAAGAAAACAAGTAAGTCATCATTTGCTGATTTTTGGATTAGATTAGATTGATAATTCACTATTAATAAATGATCCACTAAAAACATACTTATTTTAATTTAGATGCGTATTCAGATTATGAAAAAGAACAATCAAAACAATGATTAAAACATAGATAAATAAAAAAAAAATTTTTAATTTTTTAAACAAATTCTTTATTTTTAATGGAATTTTTTTTGTGAATATATGAAGTATAAAGAGTCATATATTGAGAAATTTTTTTTCTAAATAAATTACTTTAAGAAAGTAAATTTAATAAATTTTCATTCAAATCAAAATTTCTAAATTAATTAATGAATTTTTCTGTAAAATAGTATTTAATATCTAAATGTTAAATATTTTTATAATATAATATAAATAATATAAATAATTTAAATTAATATAATAATGGTTTATAAAACTTTTCGAACACTTTTTTATCTTTTAATGAAATATTAATTAATAATTAGATAGAAGATTTTCGAAAATGTCAAAATGATTTTCATTTTTTAAATAGCATGTTATAGAGATTGATTATTAGTAAATATAACTGAATTAATTTAAA